ATATCGCTCGCGCGGCTGCGTTCCGGACTAATTGTAGTCTCCGAACGCTTTTCAGGGGCAGCCCCATGAAGAGCACATTACAGTAGTCTAGTCTTGAGGTGACGAGGGCGTGAGTGACTGTTTAAAGTGCCTCTACCCATTTTGAAGTCCAGGTCTTCTGTGCTGGGCTGGTCCAAAATCTTGCACCCGTTTGATGATACACGGAAAGCACTTTACTCTCATTAAACTAGCCTGATGGCCTTATAACGTATCCCTAATGCTTCTCTTCTGACTGCAGGAATCCTTCCAGGAGCATCCTGGGCGCCGCTGGCTGGACGGCTTCCTCTGGGAGCCTGGCAGAGATTCTGAGAAGGAGAATCTCTTTGTTGATACTTTCCGCTTTCTGAACCCGAATCAGGATGAAGCCTACACTTGCTGGTGTAACGTAACAGGATCCCGGCATGTGAACTACGGTACCCGCATTGACTACATCCTGGCTGATCGTGCACTGGCATTGTTGGAACTGACCGATGCCCAGATTATGCCAGAGGTGTTGGGCTCTGACCACTGTCCTGTCCAGGCTGTGCTGAAAAGTACCTGCTTAGCTGCCCCACGGTGTCCCCCGCTCTGTACCCGCTTCCTGCCTGAGTTTGCTGGCACCCAACAGAAGCTCAGCCGGTTTCTGGTCAAAGTGGAACAGACCCAACTGCCTGGGAAGGCGCAGAAACGGAGCAAAGCAGAGAGAACCGCCGTGGGGGATTTGAAGAAAAGGCGGACCGGCCCAGCACAGGAAGGGCAAGGGGATTTGCGTAGCTTCTTCAAAGCTGGGAACTTGGGTGCAGAGTCTGTAGATGATGGAAGGGGCCGGTCAGTTTTGAATGTGGTCCAGAGGGCGGAAGCAGAAGATTCTGGGAAACAGCCTCCTATGGAGAGGGCTGAAAGGATAGCTGATAAATGTGGGGTAGAGAAAGTCTCGGGGGTAACCCGGATACCTGTCAAGAGTCCAAAGAAAGCACCCTCCAAAGGTGTGACCAGCAAGGCAGCTATGAATTGTGAGAAAAACACACCTCCCTCTACGCAAAACCAGTCTCTGTTGTGGAAGTCGCTGCTACCTGGCCCTGCACAGCCACCTTACTGCAAGGGCCACAAGGAGCCCTGTGTGTTGCGGACAGTGAAGAAACAAGGACCAAATTGTGGACGGCGCTTCTTCGTCTGTGCCCGGCCTCTGGGGAAACCCTCGGATCCCCGTGCACGGTGTGACTACTTCCTGTGGGCCAGCTAAGGCACTTCCTGAGTAGAGGCTGAATCTGATTTGTGTTTCGGGTGCTATGTACTCCATTTGAACTGCCCGGGCAGGCCACTCTGACTTGGGATGAGTAACTCCCAAGTGGCTGCACGAGGTCAACAACGCAGATTTTGTCCTGCTCAACATGTCTCTTTTATATCACAGGGATTTCTAAAAGGATCCAGGCAACCTTTGATCTCAGTCCTCTTTTCGCTGTTGTCCCATTAAAAATTTGAATCTTTGTCATTGCTGAGAAATGACTCTCCTTTGTAGAAAACCCAATTTAAAAAAAAAAAAAAAACATTTGTTGAAATAAAGATCTTTGGTCAAAACGAAGACACAAACACCCTTCTGTGTTTTCTCTGTAAATTGGGGGCGTTCTTCTCTGAAAAGAGAGGAGGTGAGGCTAGGAAACCTCACAGCTGTAGTTGGAGCTTGTGTGAATGCTTCTAAATCGCTCTTTTAATGTGGTTGGAGAATTTCAAGTAGAAGGGCCAAGTAAATCATGGTCAAAACTCAGGAGGGTCGATTTTAGTTTTGAAAACAAAGTTCTGGGTACTTGAGAGACCGCCTGCTGCCAATTACCTCCAATAGACCGATTAGATCCCACAGATTAGGCC